TTTTTTTAAAAGTATTATAGATAAACATAAATATTGTTCTTAAATTTTTAATTTTAAAAAATAAAAAATAATTATTATTTTAGGATAAAAAGAGTATTGTCTAAAAAATTAAAATTAATGTATAAAAATAGGTATTTGCAAATATAATAAGTAACTAATTATTCAAAAAATTATAAATTAATAAAATTACAAATAAAATTATTAATTTTAAGAAAAAGACTGACAGCGTTAACAAAAAAAAAAGACCGTTGACCATAACCTCAGCCATGAAGAGCAAGGCAAAGAGACAAGAGGCACCCTGGCCTCCACTTGAGAGCCGTTCACGGTGCAAAACTGGATGGCGACGAATAGATGCTAAGACAGGCCGGTTGCCCTCACAAGCCTTTTCTTCAAAAAGTGGACAAGCTGAGTTGCGGCACCACCAGCGGTTGTCTGAAGGGCACGTCCTTGTAGCCAGCCCAAACCTAAAAACGACCCCTGTCTTGTTCCTTAGCTAGTTCCAGAAACTGGACCGTCCGTTCTTCACCTTCCAACATCTATTATTGATTGTTTTGGACCCTCTCCTCTATTCCCTCTTCCTCAGGAGAAGGATATAATACATGCACTTATTCTCTCAATGAGGTTGATTAGGCAACGAGGAAAAGGACTCTTCTCACCACTTTATTTCCAGTGTTTTTTGTAGTTCGAGCCTTCTAGGTGTTGCATTTTCCTATTTTAGTCCTTAAGTGAATAAAATTTATCTGCAGTAGAGATAAATTACTTTTAAAATGTGTACATATTTTTAACTATTTATTTAATTCAGTGGTAATCTCATTTTTTTGAAAATAAGAAGTTAGGAGTTCGAGTTGCATGATATACAGGTGTGGATAGAATAAAAGAGAGGAAATGATTGACTCCCGTTGTGCAATTAATCATTAAAAAAAAAGAAAAAGACATTTTAAGTTAAAAAAATAATTATTTAGCTACACTTTTCATATTACAGAATAATATTGATTGTTTTTTGAGTTTTTCAAATTATGGATTTAAAGGTAATTAAAATTGAAAAATAATAATAGAAATAAAATTAAAAAAAGTATTCATTTATTTAAAATAAAAAATAATAATTATTAACCAATAATAAATTTTAAACGAAAAGCAACTATTATACGTTCTAAAGACAGAAGGAGTAAAAGAAAAGAAACCTAGAAAGAAAAGATATTGATTGGTATATATTTTATTTTAACATATTGTCTAATATATTTATTAAGATATTATTATTTTTTGATATAAAATTAAAAATAAATAAATTTAAAGATATAATTATCCATATAAAATATAAAAATTGATTAAATTAAATTGTATTTATAATATATTTTAATAATTAAAGCAAAAAAATATCAAAAAGTACACACCAATCACTTTTTCCAAAACAAAACATTGAGATATTATATCATTTAAAATATCAAAATATCTAATTATTGTTGTTTTTCATTTAAAATATTATGTCATTTAAAGTATATTGAATGGATTACCACTAACTTTTTTTAGTCATTGGCAATTTTTTTTTATAAGTATCTTTTGAATAATTTCATTATTTAAAACGTTGGTAAAAATCTTACTTAAACAATATTTTTAACGATAATAATAAACAAGATTAAAATTTTAATATTAAAATTTAAAATCAATAACATGACATATATAAGTCATATTAAT